CAGGGGCGGACTGACAACTCATGGGGCCCCCAGGACACAGGGGATCATGGGGTCCCTGTGTCCTTACCCAAACTAAAAAAAGCCTATGAAAAATGTACCAGGGGCATCTCATGGGGCCCCCTACTGATCCCGGGCCCTCAGGCAGTGCCCGAGTTTCCAAATGGTCAATCCGCCCCTGGTTGTCACTGATCTAGCCCGACTACTGATGCTCTTTGTTACAGCATTAAACAAGCAGACATAAAGAAAAGCGTTTAATCAGAGGAAAATGCAAGGATTAGTGAAGTAAGATGAAGTCTGAAGACAGCTATGATTAGAGAAAATACATGTAGAGGAGCAGGGAGATCTGGCAATAAACGTGAGCAGAGCCCTGACAAATTGAGCCATAGGCCTACGGGATTAGAGATGGTTTAGATTACATCAATGTGGAGCTGCCTGGACTCCTGCACCAACTCCCGCACAGATTCCAAGAGGTGAAGGAGTTACTTGATTTATCGCCCCTGCGTTGTCACTTAACAAGCTGTTAAAAAGGAATATCAACATCATTATTCTGTATCCAGAACATGCAACCTGGAAGAGTTCCTCCATCTGGTAGTCAGAGGAGCTGGGGTGAATCAGAGCCAAAACATGCTCATCCTGGTTACTTGTAGGATTTATTATTAAAAGAACGAGGCTAATAAAAGTGAAAAATACCAACATTGCATACAGATGGGACCTGAAATCACATACTCTTCCAGATGATGTATTGTCAAGACAACTTTATTTAAAGATTTTTTTTGTAACTGGTGTGTAAATTTCAATATGAGAAAAAAGTGCAAACACACAATGGGGGAGATTTACTAAAACTGGAGAGTGCAAAAACTGGTGCAGCTCTGCATAGAAACCAATCAGCGTCCAGGTTTTAATGCCGAAGTTTAATGTGGATTATTATTATTATTATTATACAGTATTTATAAAGCGCCAACAGTTTGCTCAGCACTGTACATTACAATGGGAGACAATACAATAACAATACAATGTGATACATGAGGGGTTCGAGGGCCCTGCTCCTTGGAGCTTACAATCTAGGAGGGAGGGGATAGTGGTACAGGAGGAAAATCTGTGGGGGATGGAGTGGTAGGAAGAGTGGAGGAGGTCGGCAATTAGCAGGGGGTGGGGTAGGCTTCCCTGATAGTCTGATGGATTGGGGTAGGGAGTTACAGAGGATGGGTGACGCCCTGGAGAAGTCCTGTAGGCGGGCATGGGAGGAGGAGCCCAGGGAACTAGAGAGAAGGGGGTCTTGTGAGGAGCGGAGAGTGCATGTTGGGTGGTACTTGGATATTAGGTCAGTGATGTAGTTCAGGGCAGTATGATGGACAGCTTAGTACGTCAGTGTTAGGATTTTGAATTTGATCCGTTGGGAAATCGGAAGCCAGTGAAGGGATTGGCAGAGGGGGGTGGCGGAAACGGAGCAGTTGGTAAGGAGGATATAAACCCTTACAAAACACCCAGTGAAGTGACTGGCCTCAGGTGATACACAGAGTTGAGACAAATCCTCCTACATAAGTTGTACCTGTTTATCTGCATTCTTTTCATCCATTTTAACCTCCCTAGCGGTCCGATTATGTTAGTATTTCTGTGCTCAAAGCGGTACTTTTTTTTTCATGGAAATATGTAGTTTTTTTTATTGTAGGCCTGTAATTCTTAGGAATAACTCACTGAAATCTGTCCGAACAAGAGTCTAGTAAACATCCCGGGTATGTTAAAAGTTGAAACACGAAATCATAAATTATAAATTAATAATCATAAAAATAATAATATAATAATAAATTTAATTCAATAATATAATCAAACCAAAAAACACTGAAATTTGAAATATAGCGCCAAGTTCGCACATCACTGAGCAAAGTCGCAAAATCGTTTTCAGTGTCTGATGACGAATTTCCCCACAAATCATTATCACTCAATTCTGCAAGTGGTTCTAATTTACTATCGCTGTTCTCTAGCTGGTCTAAAACCGCTTGTGACCTAAAGGGGCGCTTTTTGGGACGCCATGGATGTTTCTCAGTTTTCAGGCAGAAAGAACAGTAAAAATGCAGGCAGGGCACAGGACAAAGCACTCGGGACAAAATGTTTGTGAAATGCTTTGATACAGTAATGTTTTACTATGTGATTTTAGTGTATTTTGTGAATGTCACTTTTTGACATTTTTAAATTTTCCCACCAGTTCTGTCCCCGTACGTCCCGACGTCGCAGGGAACGATACACGGAAGACAGATGCCGGCATCGGCCGGATTACATTGCCGGGGACAGCAGGAGGGACATCGCGAGAGCGCAGGACAAGGTAAGTGAATAAGAGATCCTGGAGCAATGCTGCAGGGTATTCCCGAGTGTAGCTCGAGTTACCGCTTGTGGTGCTGAAACTTTACCCCGAGCTACACTCAGGAATACCTCCAGGGAGGTCAAGTTCAGAATTTATAACAACACTTACCTGAGCTGTCAGAACAAAAGGGGCTGAAGTTACACTCTGCAGAGCTCAGGAAAGAGAGCTCTGAGAGCTGATTGGAAGTAAAGGACACCCCCCCCCCCTTCACACAGCTCACAGGAACAGAGCTGAGGCTCCCTCGTCACATTTTTTTTCTCTTGGCGTCAGGAAAACTTTTCATAAATTACATAAGTCATGCTGATAGCAGCAGCACAAAAAAGCAGACATAAATGACACTTAGTGCTCTGGATTAAGACAAATACACACTATAGAGGGATATGCTTTGTTCATATTTCATGCCCAAGGTTTACAGCCACTTCAATTGAACAAGCTGACGTTAGAAGCTAATGCACACCATGCACAGTTGCACCAGATTCTGAGTGCTCCAGCTTTGGTAAATCTCCCCCGATGTTACTTACAATTTAAAGAAAAAAATGTATTGATTTTTTGAAAAAAGCTGTTGAGAATGTGACCCAAAACTTTCACTGGGGTGGGGGGACATCCGGTCCTACAGTAACATGTTACACCCTAAATATGGGAGTAACATGTTATGAAAGGTGAACTTATTCTTTAAAAGGATAAGTTCATCTTTTAAAAAAAAAATAATAAAAATAAATGCATATCTTTTTTGCAGATAAAAAAATGTACATTTATTGTTTTTTTATGGGTGCATTGCCTTACAGGCTAGAGTGCATGGACTCATTTGCTACTATAGAGTCACATTCATATCTATAAAAAAAAAAACACAAAACGTACAGATCTAAACGTAGTTTTTTTTTTTTTGCATCTGTGTGCACGAGGCATGGACGTTTATGCATTGGCACACATGCTATGTTTGAGATGGATAGATGGATGGATGGATGGACGGATGGATGGATGGACGGATAGATAGATGGACGGATAGATGGATGGACGGATAGATGGATGGACGGATAGATGGATGGACGGATAGATGGATGGACGGATAGATGGATGGACGGATAGATGGATGGACGGATAGATGGATGGACGGATAGATGGATGGACGGATATGGATGGACGGATAGATGGATGGACGGATAGATGGATGGACGGATAGATGGATGGGATAGATGGATGGACGGATAGATGGATGGACGGATAGATATGGATGGACGGATGGATGGACGGAGATGGATGGACGGACGGATGGATAGATGGACGGATGGATAGATGGACGGATAGATAGATGGACGGATAGATAGATGGACGGATAGATAGATGGATGGATAGATAGATGGATGGATAGATGGATGGATGGATAGATAGATGGATGGATAGATAGATGGATGGATAGATAGATGGATGGATAGATAGATGGATGGATAGATAGATGGATGGATAGATAGATAGATGGATGGATAGATGGATGGATAGATAGATATGGATGGATAGATATGGATGATACGCTGATATTTCACCTAAACTCATGCACACTTGGAAGTTTTTAATGCTGCTCTTAGGGGCTTTTTTTTTTGCTGCCTCTAAACGCCCCTGCATGTTAGCCTATGTGTTCATGCACATATGAATGTTTAGAGGAGTTTAGAGGCAGAACAAAAGCGCATCCAGGAGCAGCGTTTTTTGACAGAAAAAACGCTTGATGAGTCTAAATGCACATTAACGCTAGACGTGTTGAACACTTGAGTGTTAATGGGGAAAGGCGTTTAGGAGAGAGATCCTAAAAGTATCTATTCTCCATGTTAGTGTCAGCTAACAGCTTCAGCAGTATGGTGACACCATGAAAACTGACAGCTGCTGTTTTTCTTCTAGTGTTGTCTAATAACATACATAACCAATATGTGTCCTTGGTAGAAAGGAAGATCGGCAACATTCCAGGCTGGAACACATTACTCTGGTGACAAACTGACCCACTGGAACACATTCTTAGGAGAGGAGTCTTTAATAATTTACAAGGACAAACTACTTTAAAGGAAGCTGACTTTGGAATTGAAGAATGTTTTTTTTTTTTTTTTTTTTTTTTTTTTTTTTTAGAAAATCAAGATCCATTTTAAAAAGAAACCTATTACAAAAAGGAAGCTGCCATTGCTGATCTCTTCCTCAAATGCCATTTTCCTGGCTTTTATGCTGGCCCTCTTACATGAATACATTGATGATGATTTCTGCATATTTACTCCGCATAGGGAATTTTTTACTTTACAAGGGAATCCTCACTTCACTTAGTGAAGGAGGTGTAAGAGTGCATCCACACTTGATCTGTAGCTTGAAGCTCCAAAGACATTTAAACATAAAAAATCAATTCTTCTCTATGGTGCCTGTTCACGCCAGATTGCATGAACAGGCACCATAGAGAACAATTGATTTATTAAGTTTGATTTTTTTTGGAGCTTCGTGCTCCAAATCGCTCAAGTGGGAATGAAGCCTAAATGGACTTTGCAAAGCATACCCAATCACATGCAAGAAAATATTTATGTGAAGCCAAGATTGTTAAATCCATAATGGACGAGGGTGTGTTTCCCTACGCACCATCTGGCCAATTGATGAGTGTAAAATATATAACCTTTTATTTAACCCCTTCACGCCTAAGGGTAAAACAAATCTAAATGCCTAAGAACAATTCTGCAACATTGACACGTGTTAGTAAAACCATACATATCATCACAACTACTTTGTACATCCAGGTGAATTATACCTGGGTTTTTTTCAGGACAAATTGCACTTTCATTTGGTGGTAAATGGTAATGGATATCTCCTGATTTTTTTTTCTATTATCAAAGGAAAACTGGCCCAAAATAGGAATACAAAAAAAAAAGTTTTTTAAATTTAGCTGGGTGTTGCTTGTTACTACCATCAAAGAACAACCCAAAATAAATTTTCCAGCTCTTGACAATCGCAGCGATACCATATATGTGTATGCTATTTGTTGTTTGTACCCGTAGTACAGCCCAAAAACAATAGGGCGCGTTTTGATTTATTTTTACCTAAAAACACACTGACACCAAATTTTTTTTTTTTTTTTTTAAATCCTGACTTTTGACCCGGACCTTGACCCTGACCCAGATACTAATCCTAGCACTGAGCTAGATCAAACCTTGATCTAGGTATTTGTTCTTTATTTTTTAATATTTATCTTTTTTTTTTTTACAAACATTTGTTTTTTCCCTCTATGCCAGACGTTAGAGATATACTACAATGTCTCTCTATCCTCCATTCATAGAGAAAGAAAAAAACAAGGGGGCCGGGCTGTACAGTGACTGATCAATGTGATAGCCAATCAGAGGCTATCACAGCGATCATGTGACCCGGAATCGGGAGTCCTGGGTCCCGATTGTTAGAACGGGACCCAGGGCTCTCAGTGACTCCGCGGTCTTTGTGCTGGGAGGGAACTGTGCGGCGCGCTCCCAGCAGAAAGACAGGTACACAAATATGCGGCCCCTCGGAAAAAAGCTCGGCGTCAACAGGTTAAATATATAGAAAATGTATGCTCAGCTGTAATTAATGCCTATTGGAGTGGAATGTACTGCGCACAACAATATGCCTGGGTACCACTGCAATTTACTTCACATCCAAATGGTTAATAACACCACACCAAATACCATACCGTTTTAGATGAAGTGACGGCATACAAAGTGGCCCTGTAGTTTGATCATAAGCCTATCAGCTTTTATATATAATGTCCGTTAAGGAAATGGAGTTACTCCATGGACAAAACTAATTAGATAGTATAAAATACAAGCCAAGATTGTTATTTTTTTTTATAATTTGAATAGAGTAGAGCAGGATTAGAAATTTTTCTGGGTCTTTACTCTGACAATCCATGAAATTTACCATTATGTTCCTATCATGCCAACAACAGTTTCACCAGACAGAAAGTAAGGGAAAGTCTGCAACATAATTAAAAATCTGAGAGAGAGGGTCTAGCTCTCCCATACCTTGCTAAAGAAGATCATTTTAATTGTTGAGTTGCTGTTTGAAGGCCCATTATTGTAATATTGTTCTCTGTATGACCAAGCTATCTATTGTTACATTTACACAATACCGCCCAAGGCCTCGATGGAGCAAATGGAACTTGTGACAGACATCTAATTTTTTTTTTTCCTACAGCGTGTAGTGGAAAATTTTAGGGATGGAACCAAATAAGCCAGTCGGGATACGCGCTCTGAAACAGGCTAAGTGACAAAAAATGAAAAAAAAAAAAAAAAAAACAGCCAAAAACGGATTTCTAAATCAGATGATCTTATAAGATTACTTGGTGTGATTGGGGGTACATTTGGGCAATGCTTGGACACAGTCTAGGGCTCATGTACACGGGGTGTTTGGAAAACTCTTCTGACTGTTGGAAACTGACTGCTAGAAAACGTAGGTTAAAAAAAGTCAGTTATACCGTGTTTATGGGTGTTTGTGTTTAGAAGCGTTTTAAAAAGATAACCTCGGGAGACCCTCCCAAATGCCCAGAATGCACTGAAAAATAGTAAATAATTAACTATTTCAGACATTTTGAGACAAATAGAGAGAGCAGAAGCAGAGAGAGCAGTATGTGTTGAGATGACCTGTCTTTTCTGGTTGTATTCACTATGGATCCCATCATGAGCATAATGAGGCACGTTCTACCATTTTTTCCTTCATGCGAAACCTGGAACTGACTGCACTGCTGTACTAGGTCCATTTGACTACATGGAAAACACTTTGCGAGCATTTTTGAGGAAGAAAAAAGGCTCTGGACAGCATCTGGATATGGACCTGTCAAAAAATAAGAGTCTAAACGCAAACGCTTGTAAATGTGGTTAACTGCGTTTACAAACATTTGGCGTTTGAAACACAGGTAAAATCTACTCCTGAACGCAATTTTGGTGCGTTCAAGCAAACGACTGTAAACTCAACTGCCTGTAAACGACTGTGTGTACATGGACACATAGGAAGACATAAAGGAGAGTTCAGGGGTTGCTGAAAAAAAAACACTCAACAGCCCCTGAACGTCAATTTAGCAGCTGCACTGTACATGAGCCCTTAAAAGGGGTTGTAAAAGCAGAAGATTTTTTTTACCTTAAAGTGATACTAAACCTAAAAATGTTTTTTTACCTTAATGCATTGCTTACATTAAGGTAAAAAAAAATATTTTTATGTTCCCTGTGCTCCCCCTTCCCTATGTGAAGGAGAAGAGAGGGGGAGAAGAGATCAGCGCAGGGTGTGGATGGGCTTTGGTTTCCTCACTTACAATACACCAGAGTGTCAAACAGGAAGAGGAGGGGGGCTGGTTTTTCTGGCAACTTGGATGCCCAGAATACTGGGGTGCTCTAGTTGACAGGTTGAGAGCCTAGCCTCACCACTGACCAGTGAGGCCACCTAGCACAGCAATGGCCCAGCCAATAGTTATGTTGAGGAGTCAGGAGTGGATCAGCCCAGTCTCTCTGCCAACCAAACCAGTAAGATAGACATACCTGAGACTAGAAAGATGACTTGCTGGCACTTGGAGGTGACAGCTCTATAATGCTAAAACTAGGTATATTGGTGGCACCTTCACTTTACGGTAACTCAGAAATTCAATGATTTAAAAGTATACCATATCAATATACAACACCAAAAAAGAAGCGATTTTAAAAGTAGATATACTTTATGAACTATTTTGGAGGTCAAGGAATCTTTTTTTCTGGCCATGCCCAACATAATTACATAGTACAGAACAGATAATTTTAGCATCTATCCTCTCAAATTATCCAATGTGCTCAACAAATATAAGTCCTATGTAATCTGCCCATGATTTATCTAAGCATTTATGCAGGAGGAAATAGTCAAAGGAAACAACTGGATCCATTTCACAACTAATGGTACTCTATACATTTACAGATCTAACTGCCTGATCATTACCAACTAAGATAGCTTTATCAAATTGGTTGAAAACGGTTTCAATTAAATGTAGCAACAAGCCGATCTAATTGATTCTTCTGCAAATTTACAGAAATTCGGCAAATCAGGTATTGTGGTAAATTTCGCTGATCTTTAGGATTGACATTTAGGTTGAAAGACTACTTTTGGTCAATTACTGTATATCTTACAGAAAGTGGCATATGACTGTTCTTTACTGCACAAGAGATTTGTCTAGCAGATTTCAAAATATTTTTGCAAAAAAATGTCAATATATATCTAATTGAAATTGATTGAAAATCAATCACCCTTGTATTTTGAACCACTGATTAAAATACATGTAAATTATTCGGTGATTCTGCCACAAATTGTTGAATATGGTCTGCACTAATCACTCTGCAGAAATCCCAACAAAAAGTGATCATGCTGTTATAAAGTAGTAAATCAATCGAACCTTGTAAGAAACCAATCTTTCAATGGCTACTTAGAAATCCCCATATGTGATCCGGCTCAGCTTCCTCCTTGTGATTTAGAGGAAAAACACTCAACAGCTTAGATAAGTAGTACGATTTCCCAAAAATATGATGCAATGCTCTATATACATTCAGTTTCTAGATGGTCACAATAAAACTATGAGATACAACATAGGTCTCTAAACGTTTTAGTATGAGAGCCACTTTGTGTATTTTACAAATATTCTAGGAGCGAAAAAAAAAATCAGTTTATTAAATCAATGCATAATAAATGAATTAACATGCTTTACTTGGATCTTTATGCTGTGATTCAGAACAAAAGAGAAATAATTTAAGTCTATTAGATTGGGCACTCAGGAGCAGGGCCTAATAAGCAACACAAAGAAAAGTCACCCCTTACATCAGGGTCCCTATGAAACCAGCCATAAATGGATCGGCAGGGACCAGCAAATCTTGATCCACGTATGGGCACCCTGAATGTACACAAGTCGATCGATAGAGCCTGTGGGTTTTTCCTGAACGAATAGTGCCACCTGCTATAGCCAGCAACACTAAGCATTGTGTTTTGCTGGCAGGAAAGGCTCCCCATCAGCAGAACACAACAGTGCTGCGTGAGGGATTCCCCCATCAACACTGACTGTGTTGATGAGGGAATAGAGCAATTTTCTTTCCCTCCACACATGGTAAAAGGAAGAAAATGGCATAATCCATAGCCTGCCTTAGAGCCACTCTTACCTTTGGAGTCCCCCCCCTACCATCAGGAGCCCCACCAGAGTCTCCCCTTATATCAGGGTCTCCATCCATGATCCTCCGTATATCAGTGTCATCATCAGTGGAGACCCAACTGATGTGTACCCTTAGTCTAGGCACATAAACTGAGGGCCAGATAAAATCTTATAGGGGGTCGGGTGTGGCCCATGGGCCTAGTTTGAAGATAGAATATGTGCACAGCATCTTATGTGCTCATAGTTGGAAACCAAGTCAACAATCCTGATCCTCAACACGTTATCCACAGTACAAACAATTATTTATTTGCCTTTCTTTCATCAACACATACCTGAACATGAAGAATACCACAAGGTGGCAGCTAATAGTTCTGACACCTCTTTACCATTGTCACATATTGCAAGTGCACACCTTCTATTCATAAATGAACAGGTCAGACAAGCCATGAAACTGCCTTTTGCTTACAATAACCAATGTCATTGACCCCTCTTTTGTTATATACCACAGCAGATACTTCAGTCCAGCAATAGATGAACTTGTATCACTTGAATGAATGTAATAGGTTAAACACAGAGATTATTGCATTAGTTCTATGTAGTCTATTTGTTTAGAGTGGCTCATTATCCATTGTTCAGAAGTCCTTCCGGTGTTGAATGCACTGGAACCCTCCCCCGCTGTAAGCCTTTTCAATAAGAAAGCACAAAACACTTGTAATTTTACAGTAAAATATTTGAAGTGGTAAGTAAACCCAGTACCTCTTGCTAAAGGACAAGTTAAAGATCCGCCCAACAAAAGCACCATTATAGATAAGAGTAGATGCTGGAAGGGTTTCTTCACTCACTTCTTTATACACTCAGTGGCCACATACATGTACTGATAAAGGATTTATGACATGGGCTCAGTAAGGGCTATGTTACATTGAATTAGCCCCAGGAAGAGCAATCTACTGAACATACAGTTTGA